CCTTTTGTGCTGTTCTGGTATACTTACCACACCTATCTTTGGGGGTGTGAAGGTCCCTAAGATGCAGCACTGGCCTGTCATGACCCTCACTGTCCCCAGCATCCATGTCAGTGCTGGCACAGGGTGTGTTAGACGCCTTTGCTGGGTGAAGAGCCCTGTGAGGCAGGTGGTTTCTGGACTGCTCCTGAAGAGTTTAGCCTCGCAAGGTACGCAGGTGCAGCCCATCCTGTGTACTTGTTGGACTGCCAGGCCAAGGGGCTCAGACTGAACATGGAACATCACAGGCACCCATGGAGGCACCCATGGAGGTCAGGTCACTGCTGTCTAGCAGCCATGGTGGGGGTGCTAGGGTGGGCTGCCAGGGCAAGGCTGTAATAGTGCTAGGCCTCTGTGCTATAGGCACCCCAGAAGGCCCATGTTTGTAAAACAGGGTGCCATCACACCAGGGGGCAAGGCAGCCAGAGGCCTCACTGGCCACACAAAATCGACCCGTGTTTGTAAGCCTGGGTGCAGTGAGCCATTCCTTAGCATGTTACCCCTCCTGGCTGAAATTCAGTCCTCTTCTGACCTGCTGGGGTGACCTGATGATGCAAGCTGTGGTGTAACTTTCTGATGGACACCCACCTGAGTGACAGGTTAGGCCAGTGGCCCAGCACAAGGCTAATGCTGTACAAAGGGCCACTTGTTTGCAGTTTTACAAAAGGCTGAACAGGTATCACAGAGCCCTTTTCTGCAACCTGGAGAAATGGTCGCCCAGGGTTCTGCCTTCCTGGTCCAGCCATTTATCTAAGGCTGAAATGGACAGGGCAGAAACCACTCATCATTCACTAAGCTACAGTAATGGCCCCCAAAGACACTCCATTGTATTCTCCGGAACCTGTGAACATGTGACCTTATGTGGCAAAAGGGTCTTTGAAGATGGGATTAAGCAATGGACTTTGAAGCTGTCCTGGACTGTGTAGGCAGACCCAATGTCAAGATGAGCCCTGACAAGGAAGGATACAGGAGGGTTGAGTAAGGAGAAGAAATGAGATAACAGGACCAGAGACTAGAGGGGAAAGGTCGTGCTATGAAGATGGAGTCAACAGGCCACAAGCCAAGGGATGTAGGCAGCTCCAGAAGCTGGAAAAGGCAAAGAACAGATTCTCCCCTCGAGCCTCCAGGAGGAGCACAGGTGGAAGGGAATGAATCTGTATCATTTTAAGCCACTAGTGTATGGTGATGTGTCACTGCAGCCATAGGTAACACAGGCACAGGAAGTGTTTGGCTACATCACATCTTGGGTATAGGGTCCCTAACAGCAGATCAGTCTCTGGAGTGGGGCTACCCTCCAAGGAGCACCAGGGGCCACTCAGAGCTGTTAAAGGGAGGGGTGAGAGAGAGGATGTGTCTAAGGTATGGGATGTGTCTGGTGGGATATTTAAGGCAGCATGAACACTGCCTACTGCAGTAGGTGCTGGCCACAGACAGCTTCTGCTCCAGTCCTGCAGTGCCTGGATGTGCCCTACCTTTTCCATGAAAACATCATTATCTAAAAACTGATCCTCAGGTTAATTAAAACTTATATTTTGCTTAAGAATGAGTTAATACTATTCCCCCCACAAAAGGCCTTCATTCAGTTCCTGGTCTATGCAATCATGTCTTTTTTTTTTTTTTGGTGGGGCTAGAGTTCAACTCAGGGCTCCACACTTGCAAAGCAGGCTTTACTGCTTGAGCCACACCTCTAGTCCATTTTGCTCTGGTTATTTTGGAGATGGGATCTTGCAAATTATTTGCCCGAGCTGGCTTCGAACCACAATCCTCCAAATCTCAGCTAGGATTATAGGTGTGCCACTGGCGCCCAGCTCCAATCATGTCTTCTTGTCATTACAAAACCCTGGCTTCTCAAGACTCATGGAAGAACCTACTTGCTCATTACTGTTTCTGATCTGACCCCATCTTCCCTACCACTTGGCAGGCAAGACATGGCCCTTTGTCAGCAGCCTCCAGCCATCTCGTTTCAAAACAGAAGCCCACCCTTCTGTGGCCCTCTGGGCAGTCCCTCTCTAGGCTGGTCTCGTGGGAAAAGGGATCCATACCCACATGGACATGGGGTATGGGAAGAGGTGGCATGGCACACAGGGGAGAATCTACTAACTTCACATTTTTACCCAAGTGAAAGTAAGCTATCATCTGTGAAAATTTAAAGGGAGAAGGTATCTGTACTGGATTGAACAGTGCCTCCACCCAAGTACTCATGTTCACTCAGAACCTCAGACTGTGACCTTATTTGGAATAAGGGTCTTTGCAGATGTAATAAGGCAAGGGTCTTGAGATGAGACTATCTTGGATCATCCAAGTCCTACAAGTGTCCTTCTGATTGACAGACCTAATGAGAAGACAGACGGTGACCAGAGGCAGCAATTGGAGTGATGTGGCCACAGATCAAGCAAAGTCAAGGGATGCCTGGAGTCATCTGGAGCTGAAAGAGGCAGGGCACGTCCTTTCCAGAGCCTTGGAGGGAATGTGGCCCTGCCGACACATTGGTTTTAGACTTCTGACCCCAGAACCAGAAGTGAACCTGTTTCTGTTATTTTAAGTCCCCAGCTTTGTGTAGCAGCCCCTGGGAGACAGCTGCCATTTTTCAGATCTCCACAGGAACCTTGCATATCACTGAGGCAAGAACTCAGGCAACCAGCAGTTCTGCAGGTTCTTCCAAGGATGCCTCACCACAGGTACTCGGCCATGGGCAACACCTCTCCTGGAGAAGTGGTGGGTCAGCCCCCATGGACTCCTCCACATTATAGCTCAAGTGTGAGGTGACAGGGAGACAATGGGCAGGGATAGTGGCTTCAGAGGCAGGAGAGCCTCAAGGATTTAGTATTCTCAGCAGAATCACATCAGAACAAAACAAAATTGCGATGTCAACTCCCTTTTTTTCTCAGTCACCAGCCAACACACTGGGACTGCATGGTACCATGAGCCCAGAGCCAGTGGGAACTCGCTGGCCTCACTCTGCAGCTCCATGCGAGGGAGCAGCATGCACTGGTCTGAGGTGGCAGAATACAAGACGAAATGTCACAACCCCGCTTGTGACACAGACACAGCCTGTGCAGCCTGAATGGTGACCCAGTTCCCTGGCCACACCCAGGTGGGCTCCTGTGTTGAACACATGCTGCTGACCTACTGTGACATTCCTCTGGAAACACCAAGAAGGCATGACAGTGTCTAACGGCTGTGAGGACATTAGACAAAACTAGGCCAGACTCCACAACTGCTATTTCAGTCTGGCCCGAATTCCTCTGTATCCAAAAACAAGATGTCACCTGAGAAAACAGCAACAATCTCTCTACTCCCCAAGAGAAGTCAAGCATCCTCCTCGGGGGGGGGGGTCACTAGGCCAGGAGGTGGCAGGAGGAGACAAGGGACCCCCATCATGACCAGGCCAGTGACCAGGTTCTATACAGTGGCCCTTTCTGGTTGCTGCCTGCAGGAAGCCAGTCCACACTGAGGAACCTGCCAGAAGTCAGAGCTTCTGGAAATGAAGGAGCTGTTCTTTGTGTTCCCTTTAGAAGGGAAGTCTCCATCCTCACAGTCCCTGGTATGAGCTTCCTGATGTCTTCTAGATGGCTGAAGTAACCCCAGTTTTACAATTCCATTGAACTTAGAAATTCTTACCATGAGCCCCCATTCCCCTGGAGCACCCCCTTCATGGTGCTTTTTGGCTGTGTGAGGAACTGAGGATGCAGAGTTTGGGGCCCTTCTTGGGCACTCTTGCTTCTAGCAAAGGGTGACACTATCCCCTGGGTGGCTCTCTGAAGTATAAAGCTCATTTACTGTTTGGGCTGACAGGCAAATGGACTTGCTGGGCGGCAGGGTCTCCCTTCCCTTAGTAATTTTGAAGATGTTTTGGGGACAAGTCCCAAGGAATGTGAGCATATTCTCCACTGGGGGTTTGGGGTCTGTATTTAACAATGTGGCCCTAGTCACAGTAATCTCCCCAGGCAGGAGTTCCAGAAAGAGAGGCATGGCAGCACAAAAGGCAGAGTTCTCCCTTTCCCAAAGGCTCCTGCCACACCAAGCACAGTACTCCTAGCCCATGCTGCATAAGCACCCGGTCTCACCCCACAGCTCCTCCCACGAGCTGTTTTCATGGTATGGTGTCTCCAGAACCAGCCCCGGGCTCTGGACCCAGACCCTCCATCTGCAGCTCAAGGCCTTGCCACCGTGAGGGACCACAGCCTGCCATCAGGAGATGGACACAAATGAAAATCACCATGTGTCAGGAAGGGATGTTCAGTTTAGGTCTGCAGACAAATAATCACCCGCGAGTGTAGCAAACCATGCTCACCCTGGACCTACGAGAGCACCCTGGACCTACGAGAGCACCCTGGACCTACGAGAGCACCCTGCAACTCGCAGGCTAGACATGGGGCCAAGTTATTGGCACTGAATTTCTGTCCCCTGACACCCCTAATAACAAGGCTTCCCTGGACAGGGTGGGCAGAGCTGGCAGGAGTGCTCAAGGCTGTCTCTGCATTGGCCTGTTATTACCAAGCTCATGGATCACTTTTCCTCCTCCAAAATGAAACGTGCCTGCCACAAGGTTTGGTGGTGACCACACTCACAGAATCTCGGGGCTCCATCCACTGTTGTTTTAAGAGGATGAGCTAATGCTGGGCATTAGGAGGGAAAGGGCCTTCAATCACAGACTTTCAGATCTCACCAGACTGAGGAATCAAATCAAGGCTAGAAGTGTGGCTCAAGTGGTACAGGCCCCTGCCTAGTCAGTTCAAGGCCCCTAGTTCAAACCCCAGTACCACCAAAATAAATAAATAAATAAACACAAACCAATACACACTACCCTCACAGATGAATCTGTACAGGAAAAGCACAAAGCTCTGTTTCCTACGTCTCATGGCACATGAACAGACTCAGGTGTGAGCACAAAGCAAACCGGTTCCAGGGACCCAGGGAGCCTGAAGGCCACTCCCTCCCCCATCTTAGAAGAGCTCTGTTACCTTTCCGGATCTTGTCGTGAAAATTAATGGCATCCACGGAAGCTGTGACTATGTTGGTTTTGCAGTGGCGCGCAGCCACGATCCCGGCCACCTCATCCATTAGCTTCATGGTGACGCCTGCAGAGAGAAAAGAGTGCGTGGCAGGTGAGACCTGGAGGAAGGTAGCACTACTTCACGTCCTGGAAACGAGCCCTCCCACTCCATCAATGAGGGCTGCAGGCAGCAGTGGGTGTGGGAATGCACACTGCAGCTCCCACTTTAAACATGGCTTTCTCAAGAGCTTTTGAAAACAGCCTCAGATGACATTCTAGGCCATTAACAAAATGACAGCTCTGTCCTGTCCTCCCCTGCCAGGATAGCTTCATGACAATATCCACCAGGAGGGCCAGTGTCAGTTACGTCCCAAGCTGGTGATGACACGGAAGCTCAGAACCCTCGCATTCTGAGAGTTGGGAATGGTGGCCCAGGACAAAAATGTCCAACCCAGGGGCCACAGGGTGACATGGTCAACAAGAACCTGTACACATCCGTCACAGCAGTCTACTCATCACAGCCAAGGAAGGGGAACAACTCAACAAATGCCCTCCAACTGATGGAAGGTGAACTAAATATGGCCTGTCCACCTGCTAAACATCCACGCCGGTATCAGTGAGCCTTACAAACACACTGCAAAGGGAAGAAACCAGGCAACACGCCGTGTGAGGCATCCACACAACCTGCCAGGACAGGTGAACGGGGGGGACAGGAGGAGACCCAGGTCCCTGGAGACAGGGGAGGTGGCAGTGCAGCAAGGGGTGCAGGGCTTCTTCCAAAGTCAACTGAAGGCTGAGCAGGTTTCCCAAGCCAAAATCGGAAATGGGAAGTGCTCCAGACCCAAACCTCGGAGCACCCACAGGATGCCACAGCAGAAAAATTCACACCATGAAACTGTTTCATGTGTGAGATTGTTAAAGACACAGTATGGTGGGGATGTAAACTAGTACATCCACTATGGAAGACAGTATAGCGGTCCCGTGAACACTAGAAATGGAACCGCCACATGACCCAGCAGTCTCACTGCTGCTAGGTAGACAGCCAAAGGAAATCAAAGGGACGTCTGCTTTCCCATGTTCACTGCAGCACAAGATTCGTCCACCAGCAGACAAATGGATAAATAATATGGGGTACAGGGCTGGAGGAGTGGCACAAGTGGTAGAAGGCTAGCCTAGCAAGCACAAAGCCCTGAGTTCAAACCCCAATGGCACCCAAAAAAAATATGGTACATATACATTGTGGAATATCACTCAGCCATGAAAATCACTTGCAGACACTTAGATGGAACTCCCCATTTCATTATGTTAAGTGAAATACGATAGGCACAGAAAAACAGATATCACACCTTCTCACTCATACACGGAAGCTAAAAAAGCTGGTTTCATAGAGCAGAGAGTAGCAGAGTTAGTCACTAATGGCTAGTAAGGGTGGGGGCAGAGGGATGGAGAGGTTGGATGATGGGAACTGGAACGAGTTCTTGTGTCCACGGTTCAGATGATATTATTTATTTCTTACAGAACTAGAGAGAGAAGTTTGAAGGTTCCCAACACAAAGATCAATGGTTAGGAGATGGAAATGCACATGTATGGAATTATCATGCTGCACCATTATTATAAATAGTCACAACTATTCTGTCATTACAAAATATTGCCTGACCAAAAATTGTGTAAGATTCCCTTTAGGCTATGTTTATAAGGTACATACGAAACACAAATAAGTTCTGCCTTGAAATTTGGGTTCCATCCCTAAGATATCTTAATATGTGTATGCAAAAATTTTCAAATCTGAAAAAAATAAAAAATTTGAAACGTTCTGGTCCCCAACTGTTCCATATAGGGACTACTAAGCCCACAGTGGGTTGCACATCTCTGTGAATCAATCCACTGAAATCAGTGGCTCATCTACTGTGAATGGGTGGATTGTCTGGCATGAGAATTTATCTCAACAAACTGTTACATACAAAAAGCAAGTCCATGGCAAGTACACACCACGGACAAGGTTCCTTCAAAACTCAAGCTGCAGAGGCTGGCTTTTGCTGCACCCGTCTACTTGATGGATCAGTCTCCAAGACACACTAGTCTCTCACCCCAATTTTCTTTTTTTATTGTGGTACCAGGATTGGAACTCAGGGCCTTCACCTTAAGCCACTCCACCAGCCCTTTTTTGTGAAGGGAGTTTTCAAGATAGGGTCTTGAGAACCATTTGTCTGTGCTGATTTCAAACCGTGATCCTCCTGATCTCTGCTCCTGAGTAGCTAGGATTATATATAGGCATGAGCCACTGATGCCCAGCTTCACCCCAATTATTATGCCCTAGTATCATACATTTACTATTCCTATTTCATTTAAAAAATTTAATTCATGCCTTTTATTAAGTAAAATTGCCCATATTCAAACATTTTTTACCTATAAAAGCATCTAAGGGGTGTTTATCAACCCAGTAATAGCTAACAGAAATCTTAGAATCTATGTACAAGACTCACCATAGCATACAGAATGATTTCTAGATTTTCAAAAAGAGGCAAAAGGCCAGATTCCATCTCATCTGTGAAAGCCGAACTCATGTGGCTGAAGCCACAGATTCATTGTCTATGGGCTGGCAGGTGACGCAGGCTGTGGGCCAGTGGCCAGTCAAGATCCTTCTACTGGTCAGCTTTGGCCTACTGTCTCCCCACACCACATCGAGGGCCCTCATCTCTTCAAGAGACACAGCAACTGAGAAAAATGTGCGTGTTTTGACTAGATCCTGATTGTAACTGACTAATAAAAAGCTTAGCAGCTGGGGACCTGAACACTCAGAAGCCACTTGACCTTAAGCACTTACACATTTATTTGAAAGGGTGTGACAGTGGAATGGTGGGTGTTAAAAGTTACCTTTAGATACACGTCTGGGATTGGCTTTGAAACTATCCTGAAGGTAAGGGGTGAACAGGAATGGCCAGGTGTTGACAGCCACTAAGGCCAGGTGTGGATGCCTGCTGGAAGTTTAAAATTCTTGTCTCTACTTGTGTGTGTATTCAACCATTCTCACCCTAAAAATTATTTTAAGATTTAGTGTTCTTGAACTGGGATGTAGTTCATTGGTAGAGAGTTTGCTTAGCATTCTAAGCTGGTGGGGGGTTTCATCCCCACCCAGTACTGCAAAGAAAAACTATTAGTGATCTTGATTTTTTAAGAAATTGTTTTACTACCATGGCTTTTCTTAGGGAAGCTGAATGAACTGTGGTGGTGGTGGTGATGAAGATGAGGAGGAAGAGAGAGGTGAGTGCTGGCTGCACGTGTTGTCTTCAAAGTGCCCACAGACTGGCAAACCTATTCTGCTCCATCTACTTGAGAGGGTCAGAAGTCCCATTTCTCAAAAGAACAACAGGGTCTCAAGTCACACAGCAGTTCAGTTCTAAAGATACCACCAAATGAAATGCTAGGAAAACTCTGAGCTCTTTTTCAGAAACAATCAGGGGCACCAGGTTTTCTCCCTCAGGCAAACCAGGAAGCCTGGCAAGGAGGGCCAGAGTCTGCATAGGGGTCTCACTTGGAGAGGATTTTGTGGAAATTCACTAAGGAAACAGACACATAGAGCCCTGTCTAATCCCACATGGGCTCTTTTGGCCTTTCTTTCCCTCCTAAGGGCCTCCATGAAGGCCATGGACCCCCCACATTTGGTAGGTGTGGGCCTGTTGAGAAAAGTCCCTAGTCTAGGACTTCTGGAATCTAAAACACAGAACAGGACAGGACACTCTGTGTGTCAACACTGGCAACCACTGAAACTATGCTTCTGAATTAACCACACTGTGCAATGAGTGTGGGATCCCATCGTGTGGCTCAGGTTGTATACTCAGGAGTCAGACAGCCTAGGTGTCAATGCCACTCCCCACCCCTGCATGCCTCATTACATATTCTGAGGGCATGAAGGCCAGTACTATTGCCCGGCTGTAGAACCTCAGGTGGCTAATGACCTCTGTGATAGACGAGGTGACAGCACCCACATAGGATGATTGAAAATGGATGAGCTGAAGGGCCAGCAGTAACAGCAGTTGTTGTCATGAGACATGGGTGCAGTGGACATCTGCTGAACTAAAGTCAAATTTGCTTTAGAGCTTTGGGGAGAGTCCGAGGCTTGGGGGGCGAATAGAAAAGGAAAGAGAAGTGAAATGTCTCAGGACAGCAGTAAACTCATATTCTGCTCAGGTGGACCCTGGGGGAGCCAAAGGATAGTGGGCCTGACCAGGTGCCACACTCACAGGGCACAGAGGTAGGGCACACCACCACCTCCAACACGGCCCTGGTGTCAGAGCGCGTGGACGTGTGTGCTCAGCTCAGCGAAGGTGGGGCAGTGCTTGGCGGCTGAGTTCTATTGATGTGCTTCACACAAGGCTGAGTTGTGACGATAGCTGGGGCAGTGGTCAGAGTAGGGTGCTGTGTGCACTGAAACATTTTCCCACAGGTACCAAGCACCAGGAGCACACTCCTCAGGGGCAAAGGAAGGCTCCCTTGGCCTGGGATTGGTGTCAAGATACAGCATGACACTGCAGCATGGAACACTGCCACGGCGGATTCAGAAGAGGCTGGTCCAGAACCTAAACCACGGTGATCAGGGACACACAGCTGAACACACAACAACCAAGACAGATGGGATTCTAGGAGCTGCAGGTGTTGGTGGGGATGCATTTCTCAGGGTATTTCAGAAGTGTGTGACAATGTGCATCCAGGGAGTAAGTGCAGCCACGCTGGGCCCTCTGAGAACCACAGAGTAGCAGAGTGTTTCAGAGAAAAATAAAGAGAGGGTGAGATGCTGAAGTCGACATCAGCAGACAGGAGAACGAACGCACACAAAGAAGTGAGGACCAGCTGCACTGCTGAGGGCCTGGTGCCAGGCAGGAAGGGTTTAGTGACTCAGTAGAAGGTCAGCTCCCAGAAGGCCAGGTCCTTCATCTGCTTTGTCCACCAACATATCTGAGGGTCTGGTCACCAAAGGCTCCTCTCAACAAATACAGATAAGTGGCGCTGAGCCTCACTGGAGAGTAGCCTGCTGAGGCAGAAACATTGTGCCTCCATTTCATAAATCAATACACAGTAACACAGGGA